GCTCATACGAAATCAAATTTCCCACATTTTTTAATGTAAAATAAAGCTAAATAACCTATTAAGGCATAAAAAGCAAAACAGATTGAGTATCCCTTACTTCAAATGTTTAGAATTGGAAGTGTTTTAGATTTTGGACTTTTTCAGATTTTAGAACATATATACATAATAAGATATCTTCAGGATAGGATTCACACCTAAACATGAAAATCATGTGTAATAATTTTATACTATATTTTAAGTGTGTCTTCATTTTGAATGCAACCTGCAAATTAGGTCAGATGTACAATTTCCTACTTGTGACAGCATTTTGGAGCTCAAAATTTTAGATTTTGGAGCCCTTTGGATTTTGGATTTTCACATTAGAGATATACAACCTGTACTTTTTCCCACTTCATGTATTAAAGTCATTTCATAGTCTTCACTATTAACATTTTTATATTGACACATTTTATTCATTACAAAGCCCTTCATATCTGACTTTTTAATCATAATACCTAAGCCTAACATATTTAGTTATGTCTTTAAACAACCTAAAAATAAATAAAGAATCCAAATTAGAAAAACTCAAAAAGCATTGCTATCTCGGATCATCATATAGGCAAGCAACCAAGGATTCCTTGGCAAGATCTAACTATTGTAACATATAAAAAGTGCCTTTCAAAATGATAAATATGATTAAGGAAAAGTTTAAACTATGGTCACAGTCTTTGTTTAAAAAGAAGAAAAAGGAGCCAGGGACATAGCTCAGTAGAACAAGCACCTGCCTGGCAAGCGCAGGGTCCTGAGTTCAATCCCCAGTACCACAAAAAAAAAAAAAAAACTTGTTTAGGATGGGCCGGCCCAATAACTAGGTGGACTAAAGCATGTGCTTAGGCAGAGCACAGCAGCCTGGATTCAATCCTCGGCATCCCTGGCCTGCGGTGCTGGCCCTACCTCCAGGGCACACTGAGACAGCTGGGCATGGTGGTACGAAATACAAAATCAAATTTCCCACATTTTTTAATGTAAAATAAAGCTAAATAACCTATTAAGGCATAAAAAGCAAAACAGATTGAGTATCCCTTCCAGTTCCACCTGTAATCCCAGCACTTGGGAGGCTGAAAACAGGAGAATCATTATAAGTACAATATATGTAGTGAGAGACCCTACTGTAGACCCTGTACCGAATACATTAATTTTTTAAAAAGGAGAAAATATGAAATACTTGTTGCCAACATTTCCAACAAAATTAACAAAACTAAAAAAGTCTGGGCACTCATGGGTAAAAGTTTCAACTACAAAAACATTCTCTTCCATGATTAACTCCAAATGCAACTCTCAGGAAGACAAATGAGCTTCCTCAGCCTTTTTCTACCTACCTCACAGGGATTTGGAGAATACTAAAATAAGACTCATGAGATCCTGAAAAAAATATTCTAAGATGAAAAGTACTACAAGCAAGTATAAAACATTCTGTAAGACTATTAATAGTATTAAATAAAATCAAAAATAATCCAATCACATTTCAATTTTCCCTCTTTAATTCTGGAACTTCTTTTCTTCACCTATAGCAATGTACAAAATTTCCATATACTTACCTCATCCCTAAGTGAAGGGTCCCTATAAGCCACATCAGACAGCAAAGTCACTAGACAGAAGCTGAAGCTCTCTGCCACTGGGAGCGCACCTAAAGATGTGAAGACACAAATCAGATCATCAAAAATAAGACAGAAGGTCACACCAATTTCAGTATGTTTTAACTCAGTATCCTGCCAAGGGACCAGTTTACAATGGCTGCCTTCACTAAGGCTCAATAAAACAGATATGAGCCCAGTATATTTGCTAAGAGTATCTGTACTTTTCTTTTAGAAAAATATTTTGGCAATGAACTCAAATGTTTCTGAAGGCCATTTATAATTGGTGATTCCAGAACTTTTCAACATGACAGATTCCATTTTTTATGCCCTACTTAAATAAAAGAAATCAATCTTATAGTACAAAGATGGTACAATTTTACAAAGCTATAAAATATATATAAATGTAACTTTAAACTGAATGAAATATTATTAATTTTCTTTCCTGACTTGTTTTGGCAAATAGGGAAAACCCTAGTAAGAGTTTCCAAAGATTTACTTTATTCTGCACAAAATTTTTGGTTTTGTTTTAGTTCTTTAGAGTTTTTTATGGTACTGGAGATGAAAGCCAAGTCCTCAGCATGCTAGGTAAGTTCTCTAGTAATGAGCTACATCCCAATCTCCATCCTCATAAGCTTTTAAATTCTTATAGTGCTAAGCCTACTAGTAGAGGGTTCTTAGGTACCCTAGAGCTAGAGAAAGTGCTCTGTATCATTTTTTGGTACTAGAGATTGTATCCACAGCCTTTGTGGAAAAGAGGACAGTGAAAGGGAGCAAGGGCATAGACTATCACTTAGTCTTTGACTAAAAATGGATCAAAACAAACAATTTAAAGAAGCACACAAATTTATTTTAGTTCTAAAGTATAAAGTTTAACTGAAACCTAGCAGAAACAAAATTATAAAACTACTTATACTTGACATTATGATTAAACTCCAACATCCATCTCACCCTTTTGGAATGGCTACAAAACAATGTGGACAACTGAATTCCTCTAAGAATCTGTTAACTCTAAGGACAACATGAATGCTTAGGTAGTAGTGGCAAAACTATGACACTCATGCCAACAGCATTCTGTCTGCTATCATCGAAAGCTCTAAAAGGTTTGCTATCACTCTGCTGTAGTTACTTGTTCCATAACCCAGAGTGGGACCAGTTAAAAGTACACTAAGTGTTAGTATAAATAAACATTTGATCCTTAAAGATGCTAAACACACTTTCCTTTGCCTTCAGGGAAACATTACTCAGAATTACCTCTGCTTTTCCATGCTGTGTTTTCTTCTACCCAATACACTTTTGGGAGACCTTTGAGAAGTCGAAGAAGGTAAGGAACCACACAATCTTTATGCTTTAAAAAACAAAAATTATATTTAGTAAGGGACTGATTGGCTTTTTCACATGGACTAAGATTTATGCAAAGCATATCTACATCCTAATCACATAAAAGGTATTATAGGGATAATGTGTATGCAAGCTCACATGATATCACACTTGTACTATTTTCACACAACAGAATCCAGAAGCTGTCACATCAGCCTGCACTTCAAAGGCCTAAGAGAAGGGCTCAAACCTGCCCCCTGGAGCTGAGTGTTCAGCCTCCTTGGGCCTGCTGTAGGAGCTAGGCTCTAGTAACAGCCTCTCCAGAATGAATGTATGATGCACTTAAAATTGCATTCAGTGAAAGGAATTCAAACAGTCCCAAACTAACCCATGGCCTCAAGGATTTTTTTCGTTTGTTTTGTTTTGTTTTACTTCATGTTTCCTCTTGCTCCTCTCACCAAGGCTCTATGAATACTCATGAGGCCCATGGGTTCCCCTGGAAGCAAACTGTATGGTCCAAGGGACAAGAATACATGCCATCTGGAACCCTGCCAACCTTTATCCAGAATCAGAATTACACTGAGGTAATTTGTACTCAACTCTTCCCTGCTAGTTTAAAAAGTCTATTTTGGGGCTGGAGAGATGGCTCAGTGGTCTAAAGCACCTACTTAGAACAAGCTTGGCAAGGCATCAGGGACCGCGGTTCAATCCCCCAGCAC